CTCTTTCGCCCGTCGCCTCGGCCTCGAATCTCGGCACCGCGCGTCCTCGCGCGAACACGAACGCGTCCTCACTGGCGTTGGTTCGCCTGCCGCGACTTATAGCGCCCGCCGGCCGCGGGATATCCGCCGAAGGTGGTCACTCGGGGAGGCGCGGGCGCGTTGACCAACACGCGTTCTCCACCGCGTTCTCCACCGTGGAAAGTCGCCGGATCCACCGGGCGCTTCTCGACTCGTCTCGCGGGGGGGTCTCAGAATGAGATAGTGGAAAACGCGCTTGTCTTTCGTGAAAATGCAATCATCGGTTTCTGCGATAAAACGTTCCTTTCCGTCTCTTCAGAAATCTAGAAAGTTGACACGCGTACCTTCGTAATTCAATCTTGAGTTAAAATACCGCTAAAACAGAAGACATTAAATCGACATTAGATGAATGACATTCTCCGTTATTTCGGTTTTTCTTTTATCTCTAAAATTTAGCTCGCGAAAAGATACCTTTTTCAATGGATCCCGAGTCGAAAATTTAAAATCTACTGTGAATCTCATGAATGCCTACTTCTTCAATAGTGCTTTTTGGCCTGCAGGTCTTCTCTTCAATTCTGTAGCGTGTACACAAAGCAGAACACATTTTACGAAAAATATGTATGACATCTCATAGAATCATTCTTGTAATATTTCTATAATTTAAAAACATTCCAAGTTTCCATTAACATTTTTTTCGGAAATCTGGCACTTTCTAGGGAATTTCAGAGAATATTTAAAAAATGCTACAACTCAATTCGATTCTGATTGAAATAACAGATACAATCTTCCGTATAACAAGAAACTTTTGCATCCCAATTCGGACTCTCAAATCTTTTGCATTTAATTGCTAGAATAATTGCTTTTGGAATGCACCAGGAACTCTAAAACTCTTGGCGGAATCAGGAAGTACCAGACGCTATCAATTATTTAAAAAATTCTAAAAACGCGATATAGTTTTACAATAAAACGGAGAAAGAAAGAGGAGAAAGCTCGCTCGAGTTTCACACGCAACACCTACGTTTTTGCACGTCCACCCACGTGTTCTCCACCCTTTCGCCCTCGCCCTCGGCCTCCGGGGCTGCGCAGACCTTGCTAAGAGTGCGGCCAGGCAGCGCCGTAATACGCAGCATAGTACGTAAGCCGTCGCATTTATAATCGAACCTCTCAGTCGAGGTTATTCGTTCATTCATTAAGCGGTTGGCCCCGAATTATTGGAACATTAGCTTGATTGGACAAAGCTGGGCACGGCCTGTAATACACGGGATCCGCGCTACCTCGCTTATGTCATCATCAACGCGAAGCGGAAACGCCGCGCCGTTCTTACACGCAAACGAATGACACCAAAATCGAATGTTCGACGATTGGAAACATTTCGGAAATATATATATATATATATATATATTCTTTGGACGTTCCAGTCCTTGAAAATTCTTAGATTCCTCGAGGTATAAACCTTAACGATAAATCTTTAAAATATCAAGCTTCTCAGGTAGAAACTTTTGGAAGCAATAGAAAAAAATTGAAAAGAATTAACAGTAATATAACATCAATGTTGTACTTTCACATTTAACAATGTACGTTCAGAAGAAAACGCAGCTTTGCAGCTGTTGTAAGTTTCTTATAATTGGTTCTTGCTCTTAATTCCTCTCATTATATTTAAATGCATAAACCAATCATATTAAAGATCTTATAATAGTTGCAAAGTTGCTTTTTCTGTAGCTAATGTAACTATTCACATACAACATATGTTATATTTTTATATTACATTTATATTATTGAATGTGTAATTCCAACATTGATGTTATGTTATTGTTAGTTAGTGCTGGAAAATTGGCATAAAAATTTGAATTCTCGAATATGTGAAATCGAAATACATAAATGGAATATAAATAGCGTTTCTATATATATGCGATTTGGAAGCTGAGTAATCGGAAAAAAATGCGTCGCGCGTTAAATATAGTTTCCAATGACGTTTTCTACTCATCGTTTTTTAAATATATTTTATTTATATATATTTATATATATTTACAACTTACGTAATAATCGTCGTCACGTTGAATATGATACATTCGACTGTGAATAAATGGTACGGCTGTTATACACGGATTACTTTATTGCGAGGACTCGCGTTTCCTGGTTGGATCTCGACGATCTTAGCTTCGGAAACTGCCGATCCTTCTTATCTACGATCCGGAGATCGTTCACATACGAATTGCTTACACGAAAAATCTCACGATCCTACGTCAGAGACGATCGGGACGCACAAAGTTATTAGCACGCACGTTAATTAACACTAGTCGTTCTCACATGGTTCGGTATCGCATGGGATCGGTAATCGCAGGTCTGATTAATTAATGCCCGTTTCTATCAATATAGATTAACTTCAATCTTGGCTTAACTTACTTTTCATGTTTTTTAATTCTAAGAATTAGAAAAAAAGTTGAAGAGATTTGAGATTTAAGTTAATCCACGTGATAGAAATGCCTATTTCAATAAATGTAAATTAACTTTAATCTCATTTAATTTACTATTTATCCTTTTCCAATTCTTAAAACTACAAAAAGATCAAAAGTAGGTTAAACTAAGATCAAAATTGTTATACATTGATAGAAATTGACACAATGCTTTTTTCTATAAATGTAAATTAACTTTAATCTTGTTTAATTTACTCTCTTTATCCTTTTCCAATTCTTAAAACTACAAAAAGATTAAAAGTAGGTTAAACTAAGATTAAAGTTAATCTACAATACATTGGTAGAAACAGGCATAAATACGCGTTACTTCAGAAATTTCGAACACGACACAATACAAGCGAAATAAATCAGGATACACTTGGAGAAAGAACCTTTTTTATAATCTTGAATTGAATTCCTTAATTTCTGAATAAGAAACAGTATTATTTTGGCACTATTCTAAAGAGTATCATAAAATAAGACACTCCTTTGCCGTACCTTTGCCGTAGGAAGAACATTTATAGAGCTTTAAGGGATGGTCGAGAATTAACGATGTGTAGAGAATAAGATAATCGATCAAAGAAATAGATTCTCGCACTGGTATGATCGAGAAGCTGTAAGATAAAGGAAAGTGAATTTCGTACTCCATTAATTTGATCGATCGCTATTTGCACATTTTTCAATTGATCGCACATGCAGAGAACGACTGATAAAAATATGTTCGTACGAAATACGGAAGAAACCGCGTATCTTCTTCGCGTGACGTGCTATTGACCGTTTCTACTTAACGAGTGAAACGGCCGCGATTATTTCATAATCAACTTTTGCGCGACGCATGTCTCTCTCGGTGGGTCGCGCGATCCTTAATTTACGTTTACAAAAAGAATTGCGAGTTAGTATTGCGCGGTACTTGAGAAGCCATGAGGTATATATTGTCACACACTTTGTATCTGCGTACCTTCTATAATAGACGCAGTCACGCCCCTTGGTCGTCGGCGCGTGTTCGACTAATACTGAAAGAATCGCGAATTTTTTCGCCCGCGTATATCGGTCGCACCGACGTCGATGTGCATTGACTCTAGTCATCCAGCAACGTAGCCATTAATCCGTGCGATTCGCTGGGAATCGATGTTGCCGAAGGGCCAAATTCTAAACCTTCGAGGTTCTTCATCAACGAGCCGTACCAGGTCTCCCTGATATTGGCGATCACTTTAGAGAGAGTTGTTCTGTGGCTACGTGACTCGCCCACTAAAGGGCTGCCCTGGGACTAGGAATCTTTTTACTTTAGGCTTCTCTCTACAGCGATATTCAGGGAAGCAGTAACCAGAGCGCGCCTTCTCTGGTAAACCTTCGAGATTGAAAAATTGAAAACTCCCGGACTTTTGGCAATTTTCTACAATCGATCAATCTAGTAGTACCATTTTTTTCTTCATTCCTTTCCCGAGTAAAGATCGATAGAAATTCATTTAATTATAAATAGAATTTTCTAAGTTGTTCAACTAAATTTCATTCTTCTATTTGTATTATGAGTGAGATCATAACAAGGGAAGGACGAGATTAACCAGAGCTAATTAACCCGCGATGCCCATATAACTGAAGCTAAGTCATTAGTTGTACAAAATGTCGCAACGAGATACGATTACGTATCGACGAGTAACGTGCAAGCGGAACAACGAGCTTAGACCAAAGTTATAAATCAGGCGAACGCTTTCATTGAACTATTGCGCAATATTCTTGTCGAGCATCGGTGAGGCTACGATCACTGAAGTTACTGAAGCTTGGAAGCAACTCTCCGCTGTACAGATCAGTCTAAATTAAACTTACGGAAAGTAGCAAATCTTAATTTTTTAAGCCTGTCACATTAAAAATCCAGATGCGTGATTTGTTCTTCGTATAATAATCTTAAACTTAATGTAACTTCTGCGTAAAACGGCGCATGTTATCGTCGAATTTTACGAAATTACAGATATTCGTAATATTAGCAGTGTGGCGATAAATTATGCTTATACTCGTGGCACTAACAGACGATCTGAAAAGGCTGTTGACTTTAATCCTTTGTACCCTAATAATTTGTAGCACAGCTGCGCGAGAGATCTTGCTGCGACGTTATATAAAAGCTGAGTATATTAGGAATTGCTTGTCTTAAATATTTAACGTTTTATGTATGTTTGCGTCGCGAGATAATTCAACGATAATAATTCCGGGCACAAAGGATTAAAGTGTCCTTTTATCGCAATTGATCTATATAGCTTTGGTATGACATAAACGTGGATACTTAATACAACACGAGACGAAATTAACGCGATGAACTTTCTAAAATAATGCCTGCGGGAACAATATCCTTCGGTATATCATAAGTTATCATACTAATATACATAATATTGTCGTTTTTAATCGCGCGTTCACGACAGCGTTGTGAGAGTGGGAAAAAATATACATATATTAACTATATTCATATTTCGCCACAAAATCAAATTATTAAATA